ACATCCAAAGCTTTGGTGGAACTCTAGGAGCATGAAGAGCTGCTGAAGCACTGCTTCAGAGTCTGGGCATTAGGAACTCCCAATACAAGATATTAGTCTTGTAGATACAAGGGTCTGAGATACAAGAATATGACTTGAAATCTAGATGTAGTACCTTCCTGTTCTTAGTCTTGTAGGCAAGAACATACTGTATCCACTAGGTGCTTCTGTGCCTCGAAACTGTACAAAAACTGATTTGCAGTGCCCTCTCCCAAGTACTTCAACTCGCTTACTCCTGAGGTTATCCCTGAATATCTCTAAGATGGAGCTTTACGTGTGAGTGTTTTTGGGGAAGAACCTGTCATATCTTTGCCCTCTGAATCAGGAGAGAGTATATGTATGTTTTTTAAGGAATGCTCTTGCTTCCATCCTGTTTTGGAATCTTAATTCTATAACTTGGCTTCAAGGGAAACCCTTACTTTGAATGTTGCAGAATTTTTTCCAAAAGAGAATGGATAAAGGAAAAACAATACAAGTGAGTAATACTAATTTACACTGTAATTTGGGTGGGAAGCTGAGGCAGGTCTAGATACTCAAGTTATGTCAAATTGAGGCAGACATTCTCACAAATGCCTTTTATAAAAAAGAGGGGGAAATATAGATAGAAACCTGTATGTTCCCCCTGTACTTCAGAGTGTCTCCTGTAGGCTTGTGGACATTGCAGTCTTTCTTGTGTAGACTTTAATTAAAATTTCCTTGAACTTGTTAAAGAGTGTTTAAGTATTGGCTTTAATTCAATATCATTATTTAGCTTTGTAAAAAGCACCATTTTGGGATAAACAAGCCAGAGAAGATTACGCAGTCCCCAGATGACACAAAATTTCTGCTGAAGACTCTTACTCAAATTAAATCAAATGTGTCTGCTCCAAATAAAAAGAAGGTAAAGCTTTCTACTGTTTTCTTATTTTTTTCAAAATGTTTAGTTGATAAGATTGTGGTGGATGATCAAATGGAGTACTAAGACCTAAAAAGAGAACTAGTGAAAACTGCAGAATGTGCAACAATTCTGTCTTGAAGTTCAGTTTAATTTTTGATTATTTAGCTGTTGCTCTTCTATGATATTTCATTTTGTAATTATATAATTTCAGCAGAATTACTAATAGAGTGCCTTCTTACCAGGATTTGCTTCTAGTGGGATTCTAAACTTCTACAAATTACTCTGCATAAGTGTCTCTTACCATACAGAATTGGAGACAAACTTCGGTGTACATTTCCTCAGAGAACACCATACAATCTTATCAAAATGCTTTTTACACAATAATGGCTTGGATTTGAAAGTCCAAACAATATTAACATTGGAACAGGTAGATGCAGTATTTCACAGAAACTCTTGAGACTGAACCTTATGGAGCTTACATTCAGGTAGTATGTTTCAGGGTCTGACTGCTCTGAATGCCCTTACTGGTAAAAGTATTAGCATGATATTTCTGGCCCTTGTGTTCGTCTCTGCTAGGAATTTTAAGATCCTGCTCCTCAGTGAGAAAATGTTTGTCCTACAGGGTTAGAAATGGCATTTAGCAAATATGGCTGGAGTCTTTTTCAATCAAAGAGAAAGACATAAGAAAACCATTACTTTTCTTTCAGATTAAAGAAAGCAAAGAAAAAGAGAAGCTGGAGAAGAGATTATTGGAGGAGTTGTTCAAAATGTTTATGGATTCAGACTCCTTTTACTACAGCCTGACCTATGACCTAACAAATTCTGTGCAGAGGCAGAGTGCATGTGAGAAAACTAACTTACCACTGTGGCGAAAAGTAAGTTGGGGGGGTTGTGTTTTTTTTTCCTTTTGGGAGATGTGCTGTGGTCCTAACTTGACTGGTCACGTTCTCTGCCGATATAATCTACAGCAACTGAAGATCTTGCCCTGTAACCAGCTTCAGTGCAAGGAAATGAGACAAAAGTCTCCAGCAGTGTGTCTTGAACTGAGCTGTTTATATTCAAAAGTAGTGAACACTAGACTTGTATGTACGGTTGTAGTGAATAACACTGGTGTCTTTACCAAAGATATTGCCAAACCTTACTTAAAATATTCAAAAACTGCCCTTTTTGTTTCAAACAGGTTGATGACAGATTCTTTTGGAACAAGCACATGATTGAAGATCTCATCAGCATTGATGTGAGTCTTCTTTCTAACAATAATGTGTATTATGAGAACCATTCTTCAGTTTTAGTTGAAATGTTTACTTAAGGCCTCATAGAAGTTTACTTAAAAACCTGCTTTGCAGACAGGTCAGGATTAGGGCTATGCCTTCTGAAGCTGAGCAGCTGGCATTACCTTCTTCCTCCAGCTGGCCTTCCAGTAGCCTTCTAGTTAGCCTGTGATCATTGCTAATGAATGCACATCAACTGAATTTAAAATTTTATTACAATAAAGCAGTGCAGAATAATTTGATGTGTGATATGTTTGTGCTGATTTCTGAAGGTAAACTTAAGATGTATTTATCTGTGTTATGGGTTAACCCCAGCCAGCAACTAAGCCCCACACAGCCGATCGCTCACTTCCCTCCCCGCGCCCCCGGTGGGATGGGGGAGAGAATCAGAGAAGTAAAGTGAGAAAACTCATGGGTTGAGATAAAGACAGTTTAACAGGGAAAGCAAAAGCTGCGTGCGCAAGCAAAGCAAAACAAGGAATTCATTCACTACTTCCCATCGGCAGGCAGGCGTTCAGCCATCTCCAGAAAAGCAGGGCCCCATCATGCGTCACGGTTGCTTGGGAAGACAAACGCCGTCACTCCAAACATCCCCCCTTCCTTCTTCCCCCAGCTTTATATACTGAGTGTGACGTCATATGGTATGGAATACCCCAGTTGAGTTGGCTGTCCCGACTATGCTCCCTCCCAGCTTCTTGTGCACCTGGCAGAGCATGGGAAGCTGAAAAGTCGTCGTAAACACTACTTAACAACAACTAAAACATCCGTGTGTTATCAATGTTATTCTCATACTAAATCCAAAACATAGCACTATACCAACTACTTGACACTTCGACACTGTCTCCCGTGTCATTCTCC